TTTACAGCATTTTTTCACACCTGCCTAAAACTTTTGCACAGTACTCTGTGTGTGTGTGTATGATTTATATTAATTTTATCATATTTTATACTGTTTTTATTGTATTTTAACTAATATTTATTTGTTGTTTTATTGTAAACCGCCCAGAGTCACTTCCTTGTGAGATGGTGGTATCTAAATTCGAAATATAAATAAATTTAATATATTAATTCTTAGAGTTTTATTTGTCTGTTTATTTTCTTTTGTTTGCTTTGATAATAGAACTTAATTAGTTTACCTGTAGGATAGAGTGTATGTATATTACCATTTAAAAAATTAGTTTTTGTTCATTGTTTTCTAGGTTTTTTTTTTTAATTATAATGAAAAATATTGTCTCTGACCAAAGGAAAAGGGAATGTTGATCTTATTTTGAGTCATTCCTCCACAGTACATGTGGGTATACTTATTTTGCAATTTAAGGCAGGCTGCAAGATCCTCTGACTTTTAAGTTTTAAATCAGAATTTGAGTCCTGAAAATGTTTTTCTGAGCTAAGCAACTCATCTCCCTTCTTGATATTGATTTTGATAGTGAGTATTGTCAGCCAGAATTATGAGTAGAGTTGCAGGTTTATCATGTTCTTTGTTTTCCTGTTATGTAAGATCTTTTCCACATGGGAGTATTAATCAGACTTAATTAGAATTGCCCTAGCTTTTGGGCTGAGTGACAGGCGTTGCCCTTTTATTTATTTATGCCACTTATATATTGCCATTAACTCAAAATCCCTAGAGTTGTTAGCATTAACTAATGAGATACAATAAGAGACTATGTAGGTGCCATGCATACCACCCAGGGGAAGCACCATAGTTAATAAGATCTCCCCTGTGTTCTATTCTTTCCTGTTTGTAGCAAAGGGATGCTATGCAAAATAACTTAAAGAAACTGCAGCAGAAGATGGCTATCATTGAGGCTGTCCTCAAACAGGGAACCCAGAGTCTTGGCCCTGAAGGATGGCCACAGGAAGGGGAGGAAACTGATTTCAACAGAGAACAGACAGGAGCAAGAAAGGGTGAGTTGGCAGTGTTCTGAAGCTTTTCCTCAAAAAAATATTCCTGAGAATTTAGAAACCTCTCCCTCCCTATAAAACGGTAACAAAAAATAACTTATGTCGGTAGAAGAGAAAATG